ATTAAAGGGACAATAACACTCTTGCTGGCTTGAAAGCTCCAGAAAATAAATAATATCTATATCTAAGTACTATATGTTTAAGTGTCCTACCTGTTGTGTAAATTATCCATTACATCCTATTTTACTTGTCCAGAGGGTTCGAAAATATTTTTAAATCGAAGTTTCATTTGAAAAGGTTTACGTTAGACGTTTCAAACCATTATGTTGAATTTTTCAAAATTTTTAAATAAGGTGTGTTAAGATGAAACTTGTATCATCAATTAATTGAAATATTCTAAAATAGTACAATTTGTTGACCAGAATAAAGATTGGGGCATATTATTCAGTTACAACAAGAGTGGTATTGAGCCTTTAACCAACTGTACCCAGTGTGAACAGCTAAATTCAATTGTAGCACAAATTAGAAATTTCCTGGATTCTGATTGGTCGAAAAGTGTGGTCGAATTAGGAGATAAACACTTCCTGTTACGTATTTAGAGGGGGTTTATTGTCCATTTAACTATACTTGAATCATTAGAACACGAGACGCGATAGCATCGAGTTGTTCTAATGGATAATTCAATAGTAATTCACCTTGATAATTTAGAGGGGGTTTATTGTCCATTCGACCACACTGTTCGACCAATCAGAATCCAGGAAATTTCTAATTTGTGCTACAATGGACAATAAACCCCCTCTAAATTATCAAGGCGAATTACAGCGTATTAATATAATAGTGTACTTTTTTTTCATTTTTGTGCTCAATGATCTTCCTCAACTCAAATCTTTATTGCAAATATCTTTAAGGAATTCTGCACACATGACTATCACACCATTTTCAAACATCATCTTTTATGAAATCACATTTCTGAAATACATAAAACAGTACAAAATCAGTCATAAATTAATTAAAACCGTTTTCAGGAATCCAAATATATTCGTAACTAGGCAGTCACAGTGTCAGTAGGCCTACGTTTTCTTTTTTGATAGGCTAGCTTCACTCACCAATTTTTATTAATCAGGTGGATTTTTTTTAAAATCATGCTTTCAAAATCTGACTAGCATGATCAACCTAATAATAAGTCATTAGTCACAAGGAATCACTTGAAAATACAATGAGGGAGTCGAATATAACAGGTGAAATATAGGCCTAATCATTATCATTTATGCCAAAATTGTCATTTGTTGACAACACGTCAGAACAGCTTCATAGCAACCACTGGCATCTTAGACTAGACATCATTGTCATGGTTTATATGGTATTTTAGAGGATGTAATTATGAACTGCAATTGTGTAAAGAAGGACTAGCTAGAACATTGTGATAACAGTCTGCAAAATAAAATAATAAAGGCTTGAAACTTACATGAAACTCCCAAAGCGAAGTCATTTGGACTCAGACTAGCAATTATTTGCCCATTGACTTCAATGTTAAATGGCTGTAACATCACAGGCTGTAGCTTTTTTCTCAACATTCCGTTGGTTCCAATCTTTATAGGCACAATGGGGACAACATTTGGCAATCTCCTCATCATAATTTTGTAGGGGGTTGACCATTTAGATTTTTTGCTACACGGATTTGAAGTTGACTGGGGTGAAAATCTCACTTCCGACACAATGACTGCTCTGCAGAAAGACACTTTACACCCCCTATCCCTCCGCTGTAATATCATCAGTATTACCCAAAACTGCTATGAAATTGCAAATTTGATCCCTTTTCTCCAATTCTAGACCAAAAAGTCAACCCAAAAATGCAGGAAGAGGGGAGAAAAAAATTAAGGGAAAAATTGTCTATTTATAACTCGCACTACATTCGTCCATCATGAAATAAAGGGAAATAATTACTAGTCTTAGTCCATTTTTGTTGCCAAGAGTTACTCCTCTTTTAGTCTCGGATAGCAGGGCGGAATTATTTCAATCACGTTGACACTCGTCTCGAAATACCGCAATAATACTAATCCAGTTCTTTTAAAAATCTTCAAACGATAAAAGTATTTTTTGTTGTCGATATCCGAATAACATTTTCTTTCATAATTCATTTACCAGTAACTCGAGACTCAAACATTTTAAATTTGCAGGTAAGCAAGAGACCGTCTATAATCTTTTGAAAATATTTTGAAAAATGAACGCAAGCGCGTGACCAAATAACGACTTTTTAAAATGGGTGTAAAAATGTTTCCTAAATAGTTCCGAAGAAAATCTCCAAATATTTGTGCTACAATATCGATAAACACGTCCCTGTTACGTATTTATCGGGTGTTTATTGTCCATTTAACCATGCTTTAATTATCCATTAGAACAACTCGACGCTATCGCGTCTCGTGTTCTAATGATTCAAGCATGGTTAAATGGACAATAAACCCCCTCTAAATACGTAACAGGAAGTGTTTATCTCCTAATTAGAAGCATAGGTAGTGTAGCCACAAAAGTGGATGAGTCCTAGCTTTCTGCAAAAGACACGTGTCAAACATTCAGGGTTAGGATTGCGTCAGGGATCACCTGGGGAAGAGAACCCAGTCCTCTTCATTATTGCCATAAGCAGTATTATAGATACAATACTGAAGTAACCACTCGACTAGCCTACCCCGTTCAATAACACCGAATATTTAAAAATACAAGGCCTTAGTAGAGGTGCAATAACTTATACCCTGTTTCAAATAACTACATTACGAGTATGTTTTCAAGCTAATAATTTAAAGTAGTTAAGTCTCTCAATATCATCCAAAGTCTTCGACATTGAAAACACGAATTATTTGTCAATTTAAATCAACATTGATATCGTGATCTTACCGGGAAAACATGGGTTTCTAATATCCAATATTTAAGACAAAATCAACATTTTACCATAAGTACACGAGTCGTGTACCATAATGCGTTTCAGCGCCATCTGTAACAAGAGACTCGATATCGAAGAACGAGGCTATACATTCCACAAATCATGTAAAACCGTGACGGTATATACTTATCTGGACGGCATGCGCAATACATACTATCGGTGTAGACTTGAATGACAAGAAGATAGAAATTGCCATTCGCTTGAGACTTCTGGCGTATTTCGCCGAACGTAACTGATTAAAAATTATAGTAAAAACAGACACGATTGAATGTAAATCAGTTTATCTACATTCATATTACAATATTGTATGCGTTGCGACCCATTTGTGTCAATTTCTAGGTCCCAAATATTAGCGATTTAGCTCCTTTAATACCCGACTGGAGATCGAATTAATATTGGAGCCACAAATAATAATGAGTACAATTATGTACCCAGTTCCATCTGTATCATTGGGTGATTACAAGGGATTGGACAAACTATCGGGAGGACAGGCGGTGTCTGTGATTCTCCCAAAACCGATGAATGAAGAACATCAAAATATAAGAATAATAGGACTTGATCATCGAGATTTCTTTTTTCCCACGTATTTTTATTCTGCGCTAAAGTAGAATTGTTGGAGAATTTATAACGAAACGAATAAATACTCTGTACTGATAATACGAGAAGGCGTCTTTTTTAAATGTCAGTTATTAAAGACATGCTTTCTATTCACTTAATTCATTAATATTCGCTTTTTGGAGTTAATAAATCTACGCTGATGAAATAATACTTATCATTTACGGTTTTTCGACAAAAGTTAATTTCAAGACAATTTATTTAATTTCTGACATTTTCCCGAAAGAAAAATCCCCCTCGGCAAAGAAAAAGTCTGCTCATTTACCTATCTGACTAAGGTAAATCCCTCCCCCATCCCCCCAAAAAGAGAAAAGAAAACCCTGTTGTACACCACTGGACGTCTCATGAAAAGACGTGTGTTAGCCAGTGTGTAAGGACTGATATTTTTTAATAGACGAATTACTTGGTATTAATATTGAAAGTACAATTCCTAGATATGTATGAACAAGTCTAGGCGAATGTATGTCACTGCTATAGAAAGCTTATCGACGTTTAGAAGTTAGATCAAGTCAATTCACACAGATAGAAATTCACGGAATTCTTGTGGAATTCTGTATTTGATATGTTTTAGGGATATTCGTTTTTAAAAGACATGAACTATAGAAGTGGAGGTGTGATTTATACTCACTATTCGAAATATTATTGATACCAAAGCATCGACCAATGCTATTTCGTAGCTCTGCTAAGCTTTAGCTCGAAAAGTTAATCATTCAACTCAGTCAAGACATGCACCTAATGAACATCTACATTAAGTTTAAACATTCTACCTTAATTACAAACAGAGTTGTTATGTTCCAAACTCTTGACCAATCAAATTCCTTATCGCTCCTTAGCCTGAGAACGGGGCCCTGTGGAACACCAGCAGACACCGTTAATGGCCTAGAGGAGGCTTTCGTTGACAATAACCTTCTGTTGTCTGTTAGACAAGTAGCTACTGAACCATTCTAGCAATTCTCCTCTGATCCCAACGGCCCCAAACTTATGGCAGAGCGCAGCATGCCCAACTCTGTCAAAAGCTTTACTGAAGTCATGGAACACCTTCTGACTAAGGTACACATTTCGTCTGATTTTACAAAAAATATTTCTGTGTATATTTGTTTATGCTTCAGGCATTGGATATATGTGTCTATATTTATAAGGGACCGTGGTAGTCGATGGCAGGGCTCTGGGATTTTTCAAGTCCGGTTCTTACTTAAGTCAGACGTGTAACCTGATGAACTGAAAAAAGTCGCTCAGATGGGACAAAAAAGGACAAGGTCCAGATATTAGCGTGCAGGTATCAAAATATCCAGTCATGCGTATTGAATTGGCGGACTTCAAAGTCGATTCCGTTGTATATTCGTAATATTTTCGTTAATTGTTTTTGAACATTTGTTTTACAGACATTTTATCTTCCATTTTTACAATTACAGAAAATTTAATGATAGTTTCTGTTTGTATTTAATGCAGGAGCCACGATCGCTGTAACCCTATCTTAGTGATAGCAGTAGACCAATTTAGTAAATATAGGATTTATTTACATCAGATATATATAACAACTACAGATCCAAACATACAACAACAATACGGGAACTTAAACTATATAAGAACTAATCTAGCTACGACAGGAACACATCTAACTATATTAAGTCCACCATTCTGCCCCTCTGCCAAGGCAGCGGCTGAACTCGGGTGAGTCCATACGCCCGTCTCTCCTCTCCAACCGTCTCTCTAGTCGTCCTGTTTAACTGTCAGTGAACTTCTCATTATATATCCTCGGACGATAGACGACATATGGTCATACATGCAATTGTCTCTTTTATCTCGTCATCATGCTTACTGACCAGTACATATATCCTTTGAAGTAATGCGGAGCTTGTACACAGAGCATGTGTAGCTGGTAAAGGACATATTGGAATTAATTACATGTTTAATTACAACACAGACAATCGTGACTTAAGAACAGTGCATACAGAGTTAAAAGGTCAATATTATATATATTATCAAGAAGCATGGCTGGAGGTCACTCAGTTCTAAGCACCTAAATGGCCGTTCAATTTGAGTTAAAAGAGTACTTTGTTACATCGCTCAGTGGACAAGGCGGTGCTCGTGGTTTTCAGCATGGTTTCTCCTTTTCAGTGGTGTAAGAGGGGGTGGCAACGAAACCGTCTTGTCGTTCGGATAGGACCAGAAATCAAGATCTTTTGTACACATTAGTGTGCATGTAAAGAACCCTTGACAGTTGGAATTCGATATAAGAGTAGGCAGAATGCAGCTGAACATTCCCCTCATATCACTGACATATCATATTATTTGATATACCTCATTAGATATACCATGTTACAGTAATAACTATGTAAACTGATCATCACATTTATTTAGTAAAAAACAATCCCGAATAAAAATGTTTTGGTACTTAAAACTGTTTTCTACAAAACTGCACTTTCAATAGATAATATCTCTTGGGTGTGGTGATCGGCGTTCATGTTTCTTTTGAGATGTATTAGTCGTGTCCATGGGTTCCCGCGGTTTTCTCTGGCATACACTTTGTGTTACTCTGGATGGATTCTTAATTTAGATATACACACCTATATATTAGAAAGTCGGACATCATGAGTACATGGCCTACAATTTTACACTCTATCATATTATATTTTTGTCAAATGCATGGTCGCCCATGTCGAATTATATAACCGTGGTCATGGTTACATCAACGGTAGCGGATGCGGTACACGCTGTATTATCTTCAGTATCAACACCAGCGACATTAGCCCAGGTTAGTTTACCAATTGGCGGTGTAAATGTCTCTGTGAAAGTATTAGTCTCTGTTTTTACCTCATTTGACCAATGGTGCCGATATGCCAACATCATGGTAGCATTAACGGTACAATATTGAATGGTAGATTTATTCACACCATCTCCAAAATTAACATACAAACCAAGATCAATGGAATAATCGGATTTCATTTTTGCTCGGATATTCAAGGAACAATCTTGTAATCTGACGGCAGGACTATAAACCCATTCGTTCTCCGCTTTATTTTGCATCACATCATAATTAAAGCTGTGCTCCAACGTCGTCTTCGTCTGTCTTGCGACCCGGAACTCTCCAACCATATTTTGAAGAGATGTAAGATCTATCGGTTCGGTATGGTGTTTACTTGTGACGACATGCACGTTAGGCAGGTCTCGTGATTCCCATTCATTTCGTTGACGTTTCAATATAGGTAACACATCTACCATATCATACATACAATAACCAATCAAAATATCTGATATGTTCTGCGCCATTTTAGCCATGCGACCAATCAAATCGTTTGTACCATCAACGATCTCCTTCATCTTCCGTTCATCTTCTTGGAACGTTTTCCTTAAATTTTCTTTTAACTTTGCTCCTTTCAGAATCACAATATCACAGATTTTTTGAACATGTTGATCAATTTTAGAACAAGATGTTCGAGCAGATTCATTCATAGAGCCAATTTTCACGTTGACTTCACCAACATACTTTTCGAATTCTGAACTTTTTATTTCAAGTTCGTCTTTCAACATCTTCAATTCGGCTTCAACATCATCTCTGTAGTCACATATTCCCAGTACATCATGGTCTTGATGAGCTGGAGTCCGACATGTATTACAGATCGCCACACTGCAATCCTTACAATAAAATTCCATTTTTTCCTTTGTATGTTGAATACAAGGCCTTATACTTCCACGTGTCTGCTTATCTTGGTTGAATACAATAAACACATGATGATCGGTACAGAATGCATCATGGCGTGCATTTTTACAAGGACAGCACATGTATTTATTACATTCAATACATTTATATACATCGTTATCGGACGATTTACAAGCATCGCAAGAAAACATCTTATCAGTTTTAACAGTCACGGCACGTCTATAGTTCATATCTGTTAAAAACGAATATCCCTAAAACATATCCAAAACAGAATTCCACAAGAATTCCGTGAATTTCTATCTGTGTGAAACGACTTGATCTAACTTCTAAACGTCGATAAGCTTTATATAGTACTGATATACATGCGCCCAGACCTGTTTATACATTTCTTGGAATTGTACTTTCAACATTAATACCATGTAATTCGTCTATTAAAAAATGTCAGTCATTACACACTGGTTAACACACCTCTTTTCTTAACACACGTCTTTTCTTGAGACGTCCAGTGGCGTACAACAGGGGGGGGGGGGCTTAGTCAGACAGGTAAATGAGCTTTTTTTCGGGAGAAATTTTTGCAGAAAGCCGGGACTAACAAAATGGACCCATCCTCTGTCTGCGCCTGACACTTTTGTGGCTACAATACCTATGCGTCTAACTGAATTAATGATGACACTTGGGTTAATGTCAGGACTGGGTTCAGCAATAATTATTTTCTGCTTGCTATAATAAGCAATTCCATTGGTCTGATGGTAGCAGCGAGTGACACATCAATTCATAGGACAACTTCGGATAATGACAAGACTCTTGAAATTTGTAGCAGACGACGTCACAATATTACAGTTACAACACACAGTTTATAACGTTTTAACGAACATAAAGCTACAACATTTCAAAGCGATGTATGTAGATCTAGTTAATAACAAATGCAGATTGATTGAAAAGACATATAATATACAATAAACTTTCTGGGGCTAACCATATAACAGAGTGGTACAGTAAATTATATCTATCTATCATTATAACAATTGAAATATGACTAAATGTAATACTATATACACTGTATAGAGGTTATTTCAGTACTCTATATTTCAGTTCTGTTTAATATATTGAAGTGATTAAACAAACGAGGTGTTAAATGATATCCTCTTACGTTAATGATGTCCCTGCCACCATTTATATATAATCTCGAGGTGCTATATGATAAAACAGCAGATCGGAGGTCTCTGAAGTACAAATTAGCCCATTTTTTTTTATAAACATAGGATTTATGAAACACTTATACAAATATGGAATCCCACGCTTTAGAAACATAGGCGTAGGGGCTCGATGACAGTTAGGGGGGCAGAACCCGAAATGCCCGAAAACATTTCGGGTTTACAGACAGCAGCGACCTTGTATACCCCCCTCCCCCAAAGACAATTTTGGAATATTTGACGGCTGCAAACACGTTTTCCTGCTATTGCAGCCGTTGAACAAAGCAACTTCAAAGTGGTCTAATATAGCCTAATTAAGGTGGCTGACTCGGAATTCCAATCAATCGTTTACAGTCCTCGAGGACGGGACCGTTAGGAGTAAATTTTGAAAATTTAACTGCCGCAAACGCGTTTTCCCGATATTTCAGCCAGTGAACAAAGCAACTTCAAGCGGTCTAATATAGCCTGATTAAGTTGGCTGACTCGAATTCCAATCTATCGTTTACAGTCCTCGAAGACGGGACCGTTAGGAGAAAATTTTGAAAATTTAACTGTCGCAAACGCGTTTTCCTGCTATTTCAGCCGGTGAACAAAGCAACTTCAAAGTGGTCGAATATATACTATTCAAAAAAAGTAGGGGATATTTGATTTTGGGGGCATAATACTAAAATATGCAAATGACTACGAAAAAAGTCACTATAGAACCTAACAGAAGAAACATTTCCAGTTACATGTGACGCCCAAACGCACCAATAGCTACCGCATGGAATGCATGTGATGCTTGGGATCATCATGGGGGTCCAACCCAAGATTTGCACGACTCTGACTTTGAATGTTACAGTCATTGTGGCATTGAATTCCAGGGTGGAAACATCAGTTTAATTGTTTTAGTGACCAGAAAACAAATTTTGATATGCGTCGGCTTACCCAAAATGAAAGGTTACGTGCCCTTGGGATGCTACAGATCGGCACAACACAGGCGGTTGTGGCGCGGACGATGAATGTTTCTCAGTCTGTCATAAGCAGGCTATGGTCCAGATACCGTGATACACAATCGGTACAGGACAGACCACGCTCAGGTCGACCAAGGGCGACAACTCAAGCCCAGGATCGATTTATCCGTACCTTGGCCTTGAGAAATCGTGTCATCACAGCAAATCAGATCAGCGCTCGTCTTCAAACAGACACTGGTGTGAGAGTGAGTGGCCAGACGATTCGGAATCGACTGCATAGGGGTCACCTTCGCGCCCGACGTCCTCGCGTGATCCCTTGTTTGAGAGATCATCACATTCAGGCAAGACGTCGTTGGAGTAGGGATCATCAACACTGGGATAATCGACGCTGGAGCAATGTGATGTTTTCAGATGAGTCAAGGTTCACTGTTGATTTTTTGGACAGACGTAGGAGGGTGTGGCGTCGTCGAAACGAGCGCTTCCAAGACGTTAACGTCATCAGACATGATCGATTTGGGGGTGGTTATGTTATGGTGTGGGGAGGCATCACTGTTGCTGGAAGAACGGCTTTACATGTTGTTGCAGGGCGTGTTACAGGCCAGTACTACCGGGACAACATCTTGGCAGTCCATGTTGTGCCGTTCGCACGACGTCATGGCCGCCGTTTCATCTTCCAGGTTGACAACGCAAGATGTCACAGGGCCAGGATCGTTACAGGTTACCTCTAACAACAGAACATCACCACATTACCTTGGCCAGCACTGAGTCCCGACCTCTCCCCCATCGAGCATGTCTGGGACATGCTTGGACAGAGGTTACGTCAACGTCAACAACGTCCTGCCAATGTCCAAGAACTTGCTGCTGCGTTGCAACAGGAATGGGACAATCTGGACCAAAATGACCTTAGACGTCTCATTAGGAGTATGCCACGTCGGATCAATGCTTGTTTGGCAAACAGAGGAGGATTTACCCGTTACTGACTTGGTTGTGATGCTGTGGTAACTTTGCTGTTTGACCCCGGGTATCATTTTACCCTTATAATGGTCAGTCTGTGCCTTACTTAGTCTAACGATCATTTGGAATAAATCGATGAATGTGAACTTCATTTCATTTTGTCATTTGTTTCTTCGTCAGTTTCATTAGGTGACTTTAATAACACTTAAAAATCAAATATCCCCTACTTTTTTTGAATAGTATATATTATAGCCTTATTAAGGTGGCTGACTCGAATTCCAATCAATCGTTTACAGTCAACGAAGACGGGACCGTTGGGAGAAAATTTTGAAAATGTAACTGCCGCAAACGCGGTATATGGAGGCCTCACCCTCCCGGAGAAAAATTTGAAAATTTAATCACCGTAAATGCGTTTTCTGCTATTCTAGCCCGTGTAAGCAACTCCAAAAGTACACTGAAAAAACACTTGTGTTGGATCTCAACATAAGTACTTGTGTTAAAACTAATCTACACAAGTTATGTGTTGTTTTGCATTGCATTAACACAAACTTGTGTCGATTTATAAAATCTTGTGTTTTTTTCATATCATTAACACAAGTAATGTGTACCTTCCAAGATTTGTTTTCTTTTTTAAAAAAAAACTCCATACAAAGTCTGAATTTGGGAGTCGTCAAGTTTTAAGAAAAGTAATAAAGGGCTTAATTCACATCTCAAAAATCACATGCTGTTCATCACTGGAAGGGTGTGAGTACCAATTAATCAGACAATTGCCAGACAGACTTGAATGTTAATTGATGTTAAGTTGTCTGTAAAGTTAAAATGTCTGTCTTTTTTTATTGACCCAATAAACTGATAGATCAAATGAATATATAGTGTACATGTGATTTTCAGCACCCTGGTGTTTTCGAAAATTGATTCAATGTACAATGAACAAAAAAAAATGAGTAAAACTCTTAATAATGTAATTGGTTGATGTAATCGAAATTGGACAGTATTGGTTAACTGAAAAGTAACCAATCAAATTTAATTGATCATCCACGTGTATCTCATAATCGACTTATTGATATAATGGTTCTCCAAGTTATCTATACTTTTTGTCTGCGATATCACTTCGGTGGAAGCGGACGTAAAATACAACTAACTAAGAAGAAGTATCTATACTTTAGTCATTGCGACAAATTCTTTCTTTGATATTATATCAGCGACATTCAGTTAGATAGATGTGGTGAAGTTAGCATCAACAGGGTGCTTTAGCCGTGATATTTTAAAACAAGCCAACAGTGAGGCTGATGTCCCCCGCCGAAATAGGAAAATAATTAGAGGACACATATAAATTTATCACAAATTATCTTTTACAAAGTATTGAACAAAAAAAAAGTATATCTTTACTTATAGTCTAACAATCAAAGTAGGAGAGTTATTGTTTTCCAAAGTCTCGACCAATCAAATTGCGTATCGCTCTGCTTACCCTGAGCAGAAAATGCTCATTATCAAACTTAGTCAAGGTATTACTGTAATGAAACTATACACCAAGTTTCATCAATCTCACTTAATTAGAACTAAAGTTATCGTGTCCCAAAGCATCAACCAATCAAATTGCTTATCTCTGCTTACCCTAAGCGGAAAATGCTCATCTTCGAACTCCATCAAGGCATTGACCTAATCAACTCATACACCAAGTTTGAACATTCTAGCTCATTTAGGAAGAGAGTTATCGTGCCCCAAAGTATCAACCAATCAAATTGCTTATCTCTGCTTACCCTAAGCGGAAAATGCTCATCTTCGAACTCCATCAAGGCATTGACCGAATAAACACATACACCAAGTTTGAACATTCTAGCTCAATTAAAAGTTATCGTGTCCCAAAGCATCAACCAATCAAATTGCTTATCTCTGCTTACCCTAAGCGGAAAATGCTCATCTTCGAACTCCATCAAGGCATTGACCTAATCAACACATACACCAAGTTTGAACATTCTAGCCCAATTAGGAAGAGAGTTATCGTGTCCCAAAGCATCAACCAATCAAATTGCTTATCTCTGCTTACCCTAAGCGGAAAATGCTCATCTTCGAACTCCATCAAGGCATTGACCTAATAAACACATACACCAAGTTTGAACATTCTAGCTCAATTAGGAAGAGAGTTATTGTGTCCCAAAAAGTGTGACGGACAGACAGAAGGACAGACAGACGGACAGACAGACGGACAGACAGACAGACAGACAGACAGACGGACGAACCCATTTTAATAGTCCCCTGCTTTCTTCGAAAGGCGGGGGACAACAAGCCAACAGTGAGGCTGATGTCCCCCGCCGAAATAGGAAAATAATTAGAGGACACATATAAATTTATCACAAATTATCTTTTACAAAGTATTGAACAATCAAACAGTATATCTTTACTTATAGTCTAAGCATACAATGTTTTTGATGGAATAATTATAGCATATTAAGGGGAAAACACGACGGACGAACCCATTTTAATAGTCCCCTGCTTTCTTCGAAAGGCGGGGGACAATAAGCATACACACCAATTTTGAACATTTTAACTCAATTCGAAGGAGAGTTATTGTGTTCCAAAGTCTCAGCAAATCAAATTGCTTATCGCTCTGCTTAATCTGAGCAGAAAATGCTCATTATCGATCTTAGTCAAGGTATTACTGTAATGAAACTATACACCAAGTTTCATCACTCTCACTTAATTCGAACTAAAGTTATAGTGTCCCAAAGCATCAACCAATCAAATTGTTTATCTACTTAATTAGAACTAAAGTTATAGTGTCCCAAAGCATCAACCAATCAAATTGTTTATCTCTGCTTACCCTAAGCGGAACGGACAGACAAACAGACAGACGGACGAACCCATTTTAATAGTTCCCTGCTTTCTTCGAAAGGCGGGGGACAATAAGCATGAACATTTACTCAATTCGAAGATCAACCAATCAAATTGTTTATCTCTGCTTACCATAAGCGGAACGGACAGACAGACAAACAGACAGACGGACGAACCCATTTTAATAGTTCCCTGCTTTCTTCGAAAGGCGGGGGACAATCAAAGTAGGAGAGTTATTGTTTTCCAAAGTCTCGACCAATCAAATTGCGTATCGCTCTGCTTACCCTGAGCAGAAAATGCTCAATTATCAAACTTAGTCAAGGTATTACTGTAATGAAACTATACACCAAGTTTCATCAATCTCACTTAATTAGAACTAAAGTTATCGTGTCCCAAAGCATCAACCAATCAAATTGCTTATCTCTGCTTACCCTAAGCGGAAAATGCTCATCTTCGAACTCCATCAAGGCATTGACCTAATCAACACATACACCAAGTTTGAACATTCTAGCTCAATTAGGAAGAGAGTTATCGTGCCCCAAAGTATCAACCAATCAAATTGCTTATCTCTGCTTACCCTAAGCGGAAAATGCTCATCTTCGAACTCCATCAAGGCATTGACCTAATAAACACATACACCAAGTTTGAACATTCTAGCTCAATTAAAAGTTATCGTGTCCCAAAGCATCAACCAATCAAATTGCTTATCTCTGCTTACCCTAAGCGGAAAATGCTCATCTTCGAACTCCATCAAGGCATTGACCTAATCAACACATACACCAAGTTTGAACATTCTAGCCCAATTAGGAAGAGAGTTATCGTGTCCCAAAGCATCAACCAATCAAATTGCTTATCTCTGCTTACCCTAAGCGGAAAATGCTCATCTTTGAACTCCATCAAGGCATTGACCTAATAAACACATACATTAAGTTTGAACATTCTAGCTCAATTAGGAAGAGAGTTATTGTATCCCAAAAAGTGTGACGGACAGACAGACGGACAGACAGACAGACGAACCCATTTTAATAGTCCCCTGCTTTCTTCGAAAGGCGGGGGACAAAAAATTATAATGGTCACATAGAATACCAGACCGCTGGTTTGAAACTTTTACAAAAAATAAAACCGTGTATTTAATTTAGCATGTATATATTGCTTCTATGTATATAATAATTCGTTTCGTTTAAAACAGTCAGATTTAGAACTACTGCCCTGACTGCACCGGAAGTCTATTTATATAATGGCGCCACAAAGAAAATTTTTTTGATGTGTTCTAAAAGTGTTCCGCTAATTCAGCAATCTAATGAATCTGTCTTAATTTTTCTGAAATCGTGCTTAATTATTATTAGCTAATCGGCGCTACACCGTTGTTCAAATACTTATAATTGCAAGAAACCCCCGACTAGGACCAGCAGGTAAGAATCTGTCTTGATTTTATAGTAATACCCGGTTGCAAATATTGGCCGCCATCTTTGATTTTTATAGACGTTCGGGCAAAAGGAGAAATGTATATCCAGACATGGACTATAGCTAGATACTAACTTTTGTGTTAGTTGTTTAGTTGAAATGTAATCTTATTTCTGTAAAAGAAAAAAACAACAACAAACAAATCAGCCTTTTTTTTTATATCAATGTGTAGGCCTAATATTAGACTTTCAATGATTCAGAAGTTTCTCTACAGTTTCGTTATTTTTTTTCCCAGTCATTGATGTTAGCATGTACTACACAAAGAAAAACAGGTAACAGAATTTCATTTCCTTTTAATATATTTTTTTAATAATGGCCAATAATTGTTATTGTATGTAACACGAAAAGTATTTATCTCTGTAGAGAGAGGGCGAGTAAATGGGGTTTAAAGTTCACTAAATTCACTTGACACAAACTATGCCATTCATTTCCTTGTATTAAATTGGTCGAATCAAGTAGGTCCATGCTATATATATGTCCTAGAATCAAGTAGGACAGGTAGTCTTCTTCCGCCCCTTTTCTGAACACTGTCTCATTCTATTGCCATCTGTGTATGTTGTGTTATATTAATTCTGCATAATTAACTCTAGTTAACCTAGTTAACTCTATAATAATAAATGAATTTAATATATAAATAAATAAATAAAATATAAATAAACCAATAATATATTTGTAGTTTAATATGTTTTATCTTATCATTACAGGCAAAGCATGAAGCCAAAGGAAATGTTTTAACCAAGGCATGTTCCTCAATAGCGGAGAGAGTTTTATCCAGTGTCGGTTCTGCAGAAGAACCCATTCATAGCAGACCACCCATTGCAGCACTTGTAAGGTCGCTATAAAGAACCCGACAGACTCTGCGACCAAAAGATCCCACTGACGTGTCGTCAAGCGTAAGTACTCATGCAATTAAATACCCATGTATATAAGAATTTATTAACATGTAATTAAATGTACAATTTTATTTATTTATTAACATGTACTTAAATGTACTTTTTTATTTATTTTTTGTTTTAGCTTGACGAAGATTTCATCGATCATAGTGCACCGGGATTTTATCAAAAAAGAGTAAAAGTTGGGGAAAGGCGCCATCACATTTTTTGTACTGATAGACAGATGCAACTACTCGCACGCGCAAAAATTTGGTATATGGATGCAACTTTTCGGGTGGTGAACAAGCCATGGTCTCAGCTGTTTTCCATACACGCCTTCATTAAGACTGGAGAGACCACCCGACAGTTACCATTGGTGTTTTGTGTAATGTCGGGTAAAAGCCAAGACGACTATTATAAGGTAAATAGCACTTACTGATTGAATTACTATTAATAGTAAAAAAGGACTTTTATTTGGGACCTTGAAATTGTCACAAATGGGTCGCACTAACAGCGACATTTGTTTCAGGCATATTTGTTTCATCGGTGACACGTCGGGTGTCATGTGAATGCAACGACAACAGCCTGGTTGATTGATTTGTTGATTGGAGTTCAGATGTCTACATTAAAATCGACCACTTTCAGGTTGCCGTATTCACTGCCAGGCAAGACCGACTTGAAATTTCTAGAAATTTTCCAGGGGGAGACAGGCCCCAACAAATCCCCCGACGGTGCGTTTCACGACTTTGGCGCAAGACGGTGACCTTGAAGAGACGTCGAAAACCATTTAATAGACATAGTAAAAGTCATATCTTACGAGATTATCGCTGGTCTTGTCAGAAAATGCTATTTTATATATGACCAGTTTGTGTTTGAAAAATTTAATTATTTATTCTCCCACCATTAAAGCACACTAATTACGAAATATCGCTCTCAGAAACTTCATGGTTTCTTTTGCAATTTGTTTGGGGTAAGACGTTATATAAATAATATCAATCTGTCTACCACACAAATTTAACAGATACAAATGCATGTTATTCCACAGGTAGACAGACAGGGCCTCCTTTGAAGGGACTCAGTGAAGGGAACGCGGTTGGTTTAGAGTTTGTCTGACCCCTTTGAATATTTGCGTCTCATCTCCAATGAAAACAATCATGTTGCTCTCATGCTGTTCTCAACCAGAATCAAACATATACCGTACCTGAGATTTGTTAGCATGTTCCACACAACCCAACATTTATCGGCACCGGGATTAAGGGTGTATATCTTTGTTTCTAACGCTTATTGGGAATACGCCACGGAAACTACAATAAAAACTTATTTACAAAAACATTCTAAAGAGGGAAAACTGACATATTTCAAGCTTTACTGTATTTAAAGATATAATTTAAATCAGCCGGCTGAAACCCCGTCTCCGCTATTTGTTCAGTCATTCTTTAGGTATAGTGCCAGTTTCCACCGACAATGATATTGCAAACAAGTGTCCAATCTATAAAAGCATACATTCCTACAAAATGTTTCTTTAGTCAAGTGAAACAATAAATTCATAACTATGCGAGGGTGTGGTGAGTAAATTCGTGGTAACGTGAATAGGCTAATGTGACATAGAACAAGGTCACATTGATGTTGACAAATACGTAAGACGATATGAACATCAACTAAAAAGATATGTAATGTGATTCAGCTGCAAGGTGATATATGCATATATGCAGCATAGATAATTAAAACTTCTATTCAAGTTAAACCAACTGTATCTATTTATTTAAGTCTTACGTCGAGCTGAATACATTTTATGATTTATTTTAATCTATTGGTGGTTAACAGTGTGTAACTAAAAACTAAAATTGGATCTTATTATTGCCAATGATATAATGTACATGTAATAGCAAGTGTATATATATGTTTTGTTCAGTCTGTACACAGTAACATATCTGAGAACCATATTATTATCATTTCTGCCCAAGGCTCCCTGTGCCTTATAGTTAGCAGTGATACAAGGCAATTACCAATTTTCCATGTTCTTGGCCTGAAGAAATAAAATAATAAAAGTCAAGTTTTTATTATTATGCAAGTGGAAAAATACAATTATTCATAGTATGATTTGAATAAATACAACTGATTTGAAGTTGGAATTATTATTTGTCTAAGATGACTGGGCATTTACAAATTGAAATAGCTACTCTTCAATAAGAAAATACATGAATATTTTTCCCAATTCACCTGTATTTTATTGTAGGTCTTTGTACGTGAAATAGCTTTATTTAACGTCCGCTACCACCGAAGTGATATTGCAGAAAATTAACAAATTCGGATTCCAATTTAAAGGAAATTGACTGCACTATTGCTGGATTGTATTATATAGGTCATGTCAGTTTTTTTTCAAAATGGCGCCCAGAACACAAAACAAACAGTGCAATTCAGGGCTGACTGGTGTCGAGGCTGTATCCTAAGAATGATTTTTTGAATATTTAATTACACAGAAACACAAGTATGCACATGCAGTTATGATATAATATTAAATTAGCTTACCTCAAATACCTCGAAATATACTGTTTGGTCAGTTTGTCCGCCCGCCATATTTCTATTAGTCACACATCCTTCGGCCAATTAAAATGGACGTATATTTTGTTTTAACCGAAACGAAACATTTGCGTTATAAATAGTAAACGAGCTTGATTGAAAGACCACTGCTAATGTTTTTTCGTGAAACGGTATAACTGCAATCAACACACGGCCGCCATTCTCGATGATTGACAACTCACATTTTTCCTCATCCACCAAAGAACCGTTAGGTTTCTTTGAACATACTGTAATAACATTGGGATTATCAGTTAATCAGCTTTAATTATCCCGCTTTGATCGTTGCCATTTCTTATATTTTCCACAAAAAAACTTTGCCTTGTACGCACTAATTTATCAATTGGTATTGCCATCTACGACAAGCATGTCAACGTGCAGCTCACGGATTATCGTTAACAATTTCTAGGGGCTTGTAAAAAAAGATTGCATGTCGTGTAAATATTTATTTTGTTTTTTGTGTAGGTCATTTTCAAATAAATTCATCAGCATATTATTCGTTTTAAATAAATATAAAACTTTTATGAGAAACGATGATTATCAAAGAACCGTAAGTGCAACTAATGTTTTATCGTTTGGTTGAGCCTTTTACTAACCACGTGTTTCATGTTAATAAATATTTTCTTTCGTGTTTTGTTTGAATTGGCCTATTTCTAATAAATTATCCCGAGTCCCAAACGTCGTTAACCCGAGTCCCAAACGACGTATACCGGAGTCCCAAATGTCGTGGTCATATTTTTTTGAGTCCCAAATGACGCGAGTCCCAAATGACGTGAGTCCCAAATGACATGTAATCAACCTAGAGTTGTTGCTAGTGTTTGTCGGATAGATCCTTTATACTTACTGGCGCTAGGTAATTTCGAGGCTAATATTGTTCAATTTTATTTGAATGATTTGCTTGCGCGTACCGTAGGAGTGTATTAGAAACAGTGTTTGCGCAGGTTCGAGAACGGCTGAAGAACATGAAAACACTTTCATGAGTCTCGAACATGAGAGAACGGTATCCATGGTAACAAGATGAATTAAATTCATACAATCTGTTACGATAACTTGTTTAGTATTTACTTCGCTATTAAGCATAATTTTGATAAATTATGACACCGTTTTACTCCTTTTCAATTCTTTGGATGACGATTACATCACCTTTTGATACGCCCTCGTCCGTAGGTTTGTCCGTCGTCTACAGAACTGATTATTTTAAAATTGATATGTTGTTTATTTTAATGAGATGAATCCTATTTAATATCAATAATTTCTGTTAGTTTCTTCTGGAGTTAAGACCCTTGTTTCACTTTGTGAAATTCATTTAAATCTTTTAAATTACTGAAACGAAGACGTCTATTAAATTTCTGCGATTTCTGTGAATTATGTCTAGAGTTGTGGCCCTTGTTTCACTTTTTCGAACCTTGTGAACGCACGAACAACAAAATTATCATCCGATTTGTATGAAAATTGTATGCATTATTTAAATTAGTAAAACACAAAACAAAAAAATCTGTCAAATTTCAACAATTAAGGCCCTTGTTTCAGTTTGTAGAACCTTTGTAAACCCACAAACGACAAAAATTATAATCTTGTATGAAATTTTCTTGTAAATGCCCACATTACCTACAAAAGAATGAATATGCGACAATCCCTGTTGACTGCGCAAACGATTAAACTGCTGTGGGCATATGTTTCGTTGCCTGGCAACCTAACTTACTTCATGTTATACTGGCCACATACTACATCCAATTTTCGAACGGTATTAAACTTCTAAATTAATAAATGCACCCATGATGCTGTTTTCTCAGCAGTTATCGATGCGTCGACCTTTGTAAACCCACAAACGACGAAAATTATAATCTTGTATGAAATTTTCTTGTAAATGCCCACATTACCTACAAAAGAATGAATATGCGACAATCCCTGTTGACTGCGCAAACGATTAAACTGCTGTGGGCATATGTTTCGTTGCCTGGCAACCTAACTTACTTGATGTTATACTGGCCACATACTACATCCAATTTTCGAACGGTATTAAACTTTTAAATTAATAAATGCACCCATGATGCTGTTTTCTCAGCAGTTATCGATACGTCGACCATGTTTGTTCTCCCTCACACCAGCTATGAGGTAGTGTGGGATTTGAGAACGGGAATGTGTTCGTGAACGCATTCCAGACTGCTCAAGTCCGACAAGAACCCATTCTCCGTCCGTTCTCTGCACCGGAACACTGTTTCGAATACACCCTAGGGGTATTTAGGAAAGGGAGGAAACCGGAGGACCCGGAGAAAACCCACAAGGCTTGACAGGCGACCCTATTCCTAGTCACATTCAAGTGGGGAATCACATAATAATGGCCTATTTCAAATAAGATATTTGCATATAAAGAAAGTAGGCTTACAGCCTCTTTCAAATGTGATATTTGCATATAAAGAAAGTACAAACTTCAATCGTCAGTGCTGGATAAACTAGCCAAAGGATTTGGCTGAATCAATTGGCGCTAAACTTCACCTAGTTTATCCACTGACATACGCCCGAATCAAACATGTTTGATATATTTGGCCGAATTGTATTTGAGTGGTGTGTCCGCTTCGCCGAAGCATTCGTCTGATTTTAGAATTCATTAGCCAATCACCACTCATTCATATCGAGTGGGTATCGCAAACTAACAGTCGAACTGTGACACGGGTGCTACAGCCAACAAATTCCAACTGCCATACTATCGGCTTAAATGCACGCCAATGGGACCTCAGGTTTTGTGTTCCATTGAAACGACTAGAAATGAAATGAAATGGGGTTTAACGTCCTACTGTTTTGCTCCGAACTGGGCTAATGAAGACAGGCATACACCACACAGTGTGCTATGAGGGAAATTTTTGCCCGGACAGCGGCACTGCGGTGTATCGAATTCCAACTGTCAAGGGATCTTTTACGTGCACGCCAACGTGTACACGGGACCTCGTTTTTTCATTTCATCCGAATGACTAGACAGCTGTCCTTGTCAGGCCCTCCGTCCTGCATCACTGACAAGGGGGAACCACGCCGGGAAATCTGGGTGAACTTTCTCGGCCAATGCAGGGATCGAACACCCGACCTCCAGGCTAGCGAGCCAGCGTCTTACCCACCATTACGACTAGGCATGGAATCCATGCTGAAAAATTCAAATGAGCTTTCTCGGTCAACACTGGGAGCGAACCCGCAACCTCCCGGGTACCAAGCCAGTGCCTTACACACTAAGCCACATGACTCTCTTCTAATTACTGTGACAGTCCAGTCACATGACAAACAAGGGTTATTAAAACAGATTTTCAAGGCTTGGGTAAGATCTTCGGGATTCAAATGGTTTTAGATATCACACAGTTTGTATATGGTAAGGTATCTTAAACAGTTTATTACATGTCACATATTCATATTTTTCAGTTTCCATATTAGATGCCATAGCAAATCAAAGATCATATAATAAAATAAGTCAAAAAACCCAAATATGGAAAAAGAAAGAGCTGAAGAAATGGTGATTTGAGCACCTATGCTTTCTCATAGGTGTTTTTGGAGGGTGAGTGTTCAATTCTAATAGAAAAGATTGTTGTTATGGTATTTTAGAATCTCACCATAATGTGTTTGGCACAATATATCCCGGTTGGAGCTGTTGTGACATAAACCTCCATTTCATTTTATTGTTTTGAAATTTAAAATTCAGTTTAGTATAGTAAATTTGTACACGTACATGTATGTGCACAAACAGAATCTTACTTATGTCCAGATACATGTAGATATGACTGTCTCATTTGTGGGGAACCACGGTGGCCAAGTGGGTTAGACACTGGCTCGCATATTTTAAGGTCGCGGGTTTGCAGTAAGACATTGCAGTACGAAGGACTGGGCTAATGAAGTTGGGCATATGCCATACAGTGTGCTACGAGAGAAATTTTGCCGGGTACCGTGACCTTAAGGCCTTCTCTTGTATCAAATTCTAACTGCCAGGGGATCTTTTACATGCACACCAATGTGTACACGGGACCACGTTTTTTTGTTCAATCTGAATGACTAGACAGCTGTCCTTGTCAGGCCCTCCGTCCTGCATCACTAACAAGAGGAAACCACGCCGGAAAATCTGGGTGAACTTTCTCGGCCAATGCAGGGATCGAACACCCGACCTCCAGGCTAGCGAGCCAGCGTCTTACCCACTTAGCCACCATGACGACTAGACAGGGAATCCATGCTGAAAAATCCAAATGAGCTTTCTCGGTCAACACTGGGAGCGAACCCGCAACCTCCCGGGTAGCAAGCCAGTGCCTTACACACTAAGCCACACGGCTCTCTTTTAAGTACTGTGACTCTCCAGTCACATGACAAACAAGGGTTATTAAAACAGATTTTCACGGTTTAGGTAAGATCTTCGGGATTAAAATGGTTTTAGATATCACACAGTTTGTATATGGTAAGGTATCTTAAACAGTTAATTACATGTCACATATTCATATTTTTCAGTTTCCATATTAGATGCCATAGCAAATCAAAGAAAAGAAAGAGCTGAAGAAATGGTGATTTGAGCACCTATGATTTCTCATAGGTGTTTTTGGAGGGTGAGTGTTCAATTCTAATAGAAAAGATTGTTGTTGTGGTATTTTAGAATCTCACCATAATGTGTTTGGCACAATATAGCCCGGTTGGAGCTGATGTGACATAAACCTCGATTTCATTTTAATATTTTGAAATTTAAAATTCAGTTTAGTATAGTAAAACTGTACACTTACATGTATGTGCACAGACAGAATCTTACTTATGTCCAGATACATGTAGATATGACTATCTCATCTGTGGGGACCCATGGTGACCAAGTGGGTTAGACACTGGTTTGCATATTTTAAGGTCGCGGGTTTGCAGTAAGACGATGCAGTACGGGGGGCCTTACAAGGACAGCTGTCTAGTCGTTCAGATTGAACAAAAAAACGTGGTCCCGTGTACACATTGGCGTGCATGTAAAAGAGCCCCTGGCAGTTAGAATTTGATACAAGAGTAGGCCTTAGGGTCACGGTACCCGGCAAAATTTCTCTCGTGGCACACTGTATGGCATATGCCCAGTCGAAGCTGAACAGTAGGACGCCAAACCCCATTTCATTTCATTTTTTTCATTTTGTCTCATCTGTGACAAAGCAAACCAACACATTACAATACAATTTAATTAAATTAAAACTTTCGTCTATTTAAATATTGAATCGATTTAAGTCAACTAAAACATAGTATGTTTTTTTTCTCAGTTAACTACATCAGAAAGATCAAGACAGTTGGAAATGGCTATTCATATTATGGAAACTTTCTCTCACAGAGCTTGATAATCAGGTAAAATGTAAGTAACATACATATTTGTATTTTTAATCATCAACTAGTTCTATACACTTGATTGGTAATCTAGTTATTCTTCTTGGGGCAATGCCTAGGACTCTCCTATTCAAGTCTTGGCATTCTTGATTTTTGACAATCACATCCATTGATTTTCTTCAAGATGTGATAGACCCTATGTGTATTTTTACAGTAAATAGCAGTATAAAAATGGACAATATTTTACTTTTCAAATATATTTTAATAGGTAATATCCAATTTGTTGTCGATGGAAATAAAATATAATAATCTGCCTGGGTCTGTTACTGGACAAGACACAATAAGTGTTACCCAAAGATGAAACAAAATAGAGACTCAGTCTCGATGTGGCAAAATAAATTGTTTATTTAAACATTGTGAACCATAAATAGTAAGAAAGTATTCTTATTGCCTACTTTTTGTCCCCCGCCTTTCGAAGAAAGCAGGGGACTATTAAAATGGGTTCGTCCGTCCGTCTGTCTGTCCGTCACACTTTTTGGGACACAATAACTCTCTTCCTAATTGAGCTAGAATGTTCAAACTTGGTGTATGTGTTTATTAGGTCAATGCCTTGATGGAGTTCGAAGATGAGCATTTTCCGCTTAGGGTAAGCAGAGATAAGCAATTTGATTGGTTGATGCTTTGGGACACGATAACTCTCTTCCTAATTGGGCTAGAATGTTCAAACTTGGTGTATGTGTTGATTAGGTCAATGCCTTGATGGAGTTCGAAGATGAGCATTTTCCGCTTAGGGTAAGCAGAGATAAGCAATTTGATTGATTGATGCTTTGGGACACGATAACTTTAGTTCTAATTAAGTGAGATTGATGAAACTTGGTGTATAGTTTCATTACAGTAATACCTTGACTAAGTTTGATAATGAGCATTTTCTGCTCAGGGTAAGCAGAGCGATACGCAATTTGATTGGTCGAGACTTTGGAAAACAATAACTCTCCTACTTTGATTGTCCCCCGCCTTTCGAAGAAAGCAGGGAACTATTAAAATGGGTTCGTCCGTCTGTCTGTTTGTCTGTCTGTCCGTTCCGCTTATGGTAAGCAGAGATAAACAATTTGATTGGTTGATCTTCGAATTGAGTAAATGTTCATGCTTATTGTCCCCCGCCTTTCGAAGAAAGCAGGGAACTATTAAAATGGGTTCGTCCGTCTGTCTGTTTGTCTGTCCGTTCCGCTTAGGGTAAGCAGAGATAAACAATTTGATTGGTTGATGCTTTGGGACACTATAACTTTATTTTGAATAGTATATTTGAATTATATATTTTTTGGGTGTGGGGTAGGGATACTGTGTACATGTCTTTATATTCTCAGTACTTGTTTTAGGGTAAAGAAAAATTATATAACACAATTTTATTGTCCCCCGCCTTTCGAAGAAAGCAGGGGACTATTAAAATGGGTTCGTCCGTCTGTCTGTCTGTCTGTCCGTCACACTTTTTGGGACACAATAACTCTCCTTCTAATAGACCTAGAATGTTCAAACTTGGTGTAGGTGTTTATTAGGTCAATGCCTTGATGGAGTTCGAAGATGAGCATTTTCTGCTTGGGGTAGGCAGAGATAAGCAATTTGATTGGTTGATGCTTTGGGACACGATAACTTTAGTTCTAATTAAGTGAGAGTGATGAAACTTGGTGTATAGCTTCATTACATCTATACCTTGACTAAGTTCGATGATGAGGATTTTCTGCTTAGGCTAAGGAGCAATAAGCATTTTGATTGGTCAAGACTTTAGAACATAACAACTCTTCTTCTAATTGAGGTAGAATGTTTAAACTTGATGTAGATATTCGTCTTGACTGAGTTCAATGATTAACATATCGAGCTAAAGCTAAGCAGAGATAAGCAATTTCCTTGGTCGATGCTTTGGGACAAGATAACTTTAATTCTATCTGATAGAGAGTGATGAAACTTAGTGTATAGTTAATAATCAGTTTGATTGCTTGATACTTTGGAAAAAAAATAGATGTGCGATTAATTAATATGTGTCATCTATTTATTTGGGGATTTCGGCGGGGGACATCAGCCTCACTGTTGGCTTGTTATTTTTTAGGCTGGAAGATTATTTGATGTATGATAACAACAAGAGATCCCAAGCATCAATTTATTTTATAATTCTGGAAAAGAATGCATTTGACCCAATTTTTGAATATTTTTTTTTTGTTTTTACTGTTAAATATTCATCCCAAACACAATTAGATTTTAATTCTCTACAGAAATTTATGTATAATATAGAATGTAAAGTGACATATAAATCACTTAGAATTTGGTCGGAAATCATAAAGTATTTAATAGGCATAGTCTAGAAACCAAATGTAGATCAAATATACACAGAATTACAAAAAACCTTGACCTACATTAAGGTGACTTTCCCTTGCTTATGAAATGAAATAGGGTTTAATATCCTACTTTTCTGTGTTATTATGGTGATTCTGCCCTACAACCTACTCTTATATCAAATATTTCATCTGTCAAGGGTTGTTAAAAGGGAACCCAGGAGGGCCGAATGGTTAACACACGCACATTGGATCAGAAGGGTCTGTCATTGAGTCAGATAATTCAATTGTCAAGGGTTCTTTAAAGTAAACGCAGTGGGGGTAGTTTCAATTCTGGGCTTATACCCAATTATCCCTTGCCATGTCCTACACTACTGACGTGTGGGAACTATGTCGGAAAATCCAGTTGAAATTTCTCGGCCAATGCACTCACTGAACCACAGTGGCTCCTCCTTGCTTTTGACTTGTGATTATTTATATATATTTTGTACATATTATTTAATGTTTGCGATTTTCTCTGATATTTTTTTATTTTTCAATCCTGTAATCTTGATGCTTTGCTCCTTTTATGTACAAAATATTCATTTTGTTTGAAGAAAAGGTTCTACATCATTTTATTACTCCTGCAAAATAGTGCATTTTTCTTTTGTTAGTTTTCTGTGTATGCTAGTTATTTCTAGATGCCTCACAAATCACTTGTAATATGACTTTGTAGCACTTTTCAGTTTCTGAAAGTATTTCAATTTAGTGCATAATTAATTGTCCCCCGCCTTTCGAAGAAAGCAGGGGACTATTAAAATGGGTTCGTCCGTCTGTCTGTCTGACCGTCACACTTTTTGGGACACAATAACTCTCTTCCTAATTGAGCTAGAATGTTCAAACTTGGTGTATGTGTTTATTAGGTCAATGCCTTGATGGAGTTCGAAGATCAGCATTTTCCGCTTAGGGTAAGCAGAGATAAGCAATTTGATTGGTTGATGCTTTGGGACACGATAACTCTCTTCCTAATTGGGCTAGAATGTTCAAACTTGGTGTATGTGTTGATTAGGTCAATGCCTTGATGGAGTTCGAAGATGAGCATTTTCCGCTTAGGGTAAGCAGAGATAAGCAATTTGATTGGTTGATGCTTTGGGACACGATAACTTTTAATTGAGCTAGAATGTTCAAACTTGGTGTATGTGTTTATTAGGTCAATGCCTTGATGAAGTTCGAAGATGAGCATTTTCCGCTTAGGGTAAGCAGAGATAAGCAATTTGATTGGTTGATACTTTGGGGCACGATAACTCTCTTCCTAATTGAGCTAGAATGTTCAAACTTGGTGTATGTGTTGATTAGGTCAATGCCTTGATGGAGTTCGAAGATGAGCATTTTCCGCTTAGTCTATTTCAGTTCCTGAGACATCACCATCAACTGATTCTACCGAGGGCGCCGAGGCCATATCCGGATCAGTGTCTGGGATAATTTCGAACTCTTGGGACAAGGATTTGGTGGCCATTTTCTAATTGTATTATTGTCCCCCGCCTTTCGAAGAAAACAGGGGACTATTAAAATGGGTCTGTCTGTCCGTCCGTCTGTCCGTCACACTTTTTGGGACACAATAACTCTCCTCCTAATTGACCTAGAATGTTCAAACTTGGTGTAGGTGTTTATTAGGTCAATGCCTTGATGGAGTTCGAAGATGAGCATTTTCGGCTTAGGGTAAGCAGAGATAAGCAATTTAAATGGTTGATGCTTTGGGACACGATAACTTTAGTTCTAATTAAGTGAGAAAGATGAAACTTGGTGTATAGTTTCATTACATCAATACCTTGACTAAGTTCGATAATGAGCATTTTCTGCTCAGGGTAAGCAGAGCGATAAGCAATTTGATTGGCCGAGACTTTGGAACACAATAACCCTCCTTCTAATTGAGCTAGAATGTTCAAACTTGGTGTAGGTGTTTATTAGGTCAATGCCTTGATGGAGTGTGAAGATAAGCATTTTCTGCTTAGGTAAGCAAAGATAAGCAATTTTATTGGTTGATGCTTTGGGACACAATAACTTTAGTTCCAATTAAGTGAGAATGATGAAACTTGGTGTATAGTTTCATTACATCAATACCTTGACTAAGTTCGATGATGAGCATTATCTGCTCAGGGTAAGCAGAGCGATAAGCAATTTGATTGGCCGAGACTTTGGAACACAATAACCCTCCTTCTAATTGAGCTAGAATGTTCAAACTTGGTGTAGGTGTTTATTAGGTCAATGTCTTGATGGAGTGTGAAGATAAGCATTTTCTGCTTAGGGTAAGCAGAGATAAGCAATTTGATTGGTTGATGCTTTGGGACACGATAACTTTAGTTCCACTGACGTGAGAGTGATGAAACTTGGTGTATAGTTTCATTACATCAATATCTTGACTAAGTTCGATGATGAGCATTTTCTTCTAATTGAGGTAGAATGTTTAAACTTGATGTAGAGTTCAATGATTAACATATTGAGCTAAATCTAAGCAGAGATAAGCAATTTCCTGCTTTGAGACAAGATAACTTTGATTCTATCTGATAGAGAGTGATGAAACTTAGTGTATAGTTGATAATCAGTTTGATTGCTTGATACTTTGGAAAAAAAAATAGATGTGCGATTAATTAATATGTGTCATCTATTTA